CTGTTGCCCTCGGGCGGTATAATTGAATTGTCGATCTGTGCTTCTTTGAATCCGCACGTAGGCAATCGGAATTGTGAGAAAGCAACTTGCCAGGCAACCGAGTTGCCGAGCGCCACTCGGATGCTATATTGTGTCTGCGTAAAATAAGACGATGAGAGACGCCATCCTGTCTTCACCGCTCATCCACGCGAACATGAGGATTAAGAACGACTCGCACCAGGCAAAGGTCGACCCACCGAGCTGGGACCGATCGGTGTTCAAGCGCACCCAGGACTTTGTGTATGAAGACAGCACTGTGTGGCTGCAGGTGGAAAATACGAAATTCAGTGTACGTGATTCTGCGAGATGTAACACCCTGACTAAATGAGTATAATTCAAGGTTTCGCGACGCAGGTTGACGACAGTCTCGCCCGTCTTTGAAGGACTGTTCAGTCTACCGCACATTAGCGACGAGCCAACCATTCTACATCACAGTGCCACGGACTTCAAGCATTTCCTCTGGTATCTACACGTTGAGTGCGTCATTACGTCTTCAGATGGCGCGCAGTACACACTAATCCCCCAATATAGTTATTTTGAATTTGCCGACTATCTCCAGAACTGCCCAATCGAACAGCGCGTTCATCGCTCTCTCAGCATTGCCCGACTGGCCCACTTCTACGAAGCCTCAACCATCTTGGCCTGGGCACTCAAAGAGCTTACCTCGTTGCTCCCGTCCAGCAATGTGCGAGACTCTTCCACCTTGAAGTGCATTTACGTCTTCGCCCGCGACGCTAGTAAGGATCTACTAGACAAGCTGAACGAGCATTGGTGTCAACAAGTACGATCCAGCGCCGACCCCGTAGACTGGCTGATTGCCGCACGAGACGTGGACGACAAGTATCTACAAGCCTACGCATACTTTCACATCCTCAACAAAACGAACGCTCAGCTCCACGAGGAAAAGCGTCTCTCCACGCTCGACAAGTTGCGTCTGAGCATGGGGACGATCAATCTCCGGCGCTACCAGCAGAACGGGTGTGGTTGCAACAATCCGTACAGCTACGGTCACAGATGTGGGCAGACGCAAGACCCAGACCAGTGGTCGCCCAAGGTCACCGCACCACTTCAGGTCAAATACGGTAACGAATCTCTTTGGGACATGTTCGCCCATTCGCCAATGGGATTCGATTTGGCTGACGGAACAGATCTCATCACCACCCCTGCAGAGGTGAAATGCGATGCTGTACCGAGTGATAAGTAGTGTCAGAGCAACGTGATGTGTATATTAGTATCATTGTGAATTTCGCCTAGGATCATTGGTACAATACGGGCGATATGTAAACCTGCACTCGACGCCACACCACTCCGATTCACAGCGGATCAGTGCAAACTTCACTCTCACATGCTTCGCTGGATATCATACGGTTTAAAAAGGTTCGTAACTTGGCATGACTACGTGAACTATTTTTCAGACCCCATGGTAGCAGGACTAGTGCATGGCGCACGTGCGGCGAGAGGCAGAGAACGATCAATTCGTCAAATTGAGGTCCGGCACATTGGTCCCATTAGCGAGCTGACGCACTCCACCGCCCAGAGATTTGAGAAGGATAAAATTCTAATTGGTCCGGATGCGCGACTTGCGCACGATTTTGGGGCCATATGACACGGCTACGCATCCTTACAAGACGTAGGAATCGCACAATGTACTCTTGTCAAAGTGAATTAATCACTATGACCGCTGTAGCTTCTCAAATGTGTCGTGCAACTTCGACTATCCCGGATCGATCTGATTGTGGCCGCTCCGGGCCCGGCTGCGCAGCTTATCCTCTCACGATCACCTGCCATGGAGCGGCAGAACCCACCCTCAACGGACATGGATGCTTTCATCAAGGCCCTTCGCCGATCAAGAAACATAATCGCTGTCTGTGGAGCAGGGCTGAGTGCTGCATCAGGTGCGACGGTGGTACAATGTGGCTGAATAGTATTTTCCCATGTCGGCTACGCCTGAGCCGTATAGCCATTTCCCCGTGAGATGAGCTCTAACGAACTACCGTTATACTAGGCATTCCGACCTTTAGAGGTGCTGGCGGACTCTGGCGTCGTTATCAGGCCATGGATCTGGCAACACCCGAGGCGTTTGAAGACAACCCCAGTCTGGTATGGCAGTTCTACCATTATCGCCGCGTCTCGTAAGCACCTACTGATCTGCATATTTTTTGCTGCATTCTTACTGAGCTGATACCTCGATCACTTTGGCGCCACCGTGTATGAACTGGTGTGTGCAGTGCACTCCGGTCCGAGCCAAACGCAGCACATTTTGCACTCGGGCTGCTCACTCAAATAGATACTCTGTCGCGTATTGCACCCAACTGCCACAGCTTCAACATTGTCACCCAAGTCTGTGCCTCACTGTTGTCATCTGGTGTCGCATTTGGTCTGACAGCGTGAACGGCTCGTAGAATGTTGACGGACTCTCGCCACGTGCACACGCACTTCTCCCGAACCCGGAAGCGGCGTCTTTGAGAACTTGGGAGATGCATGGAAAAGTACATGAAACCGTTTGCTTGATTTGCGGCGACTCGAGGTGCGCTGGCGCACCCGTCGATGAAACTATCGTCTTTCCTCATGCACTGTGCCACACCTTCAGGTTCGACACCCGACTTGCAATATGCCAATCGCTGGAGGGTACAGAGCGTCATTTTCAGAACGATGATACACCAGAGAACGACATCCTTCGGGGAGATCTCCCTTGCTGCGAAAAAGACGAGTTAGTCATGTGAATAAAGTTATGGATGCTCACAGTGACCCCATGTAGGTGTGGTGGGCTGCTGAGGCCCGGTGTCGTTTGGTTCGGCGAGATACCCCAACACCTCCCGGAGATTGATCGCTTCGTCGCTGATGCGGACCTCTGCCTCGTCATCGGCACATCTTCCACCGTGTGTCTCCCTTACATCTGATTAGCGGGATGCTTCTTACCGCCGAAAATAACTCCTCCAGGTGTATCCCGCTGCTAGCTATGCATCTGAAGTCCGTGATCACGGCGGTAAGGTCGCAGTGTTCAACCTCGAACGGAGTACAGGCGACGACGAATCGGACTTTCTTTTCCTGGGACCCTGCGAGAAAACGGTACCAGAGGCGCTAGGAGTGGAGGACGACATTGTGCAGCTCGGCGTGGTTGTCGAGGGTGACGCATGAACCGCATTGGATACGAATTTTATTCGATGCATACGCTCGCGGGATGTAGATTTGATCTTCATACTATCATGAGAAGCTCATGGTCTCCATCTCGATAATGAGTGAAGAACATGCAGATTGTGCAATAATCCCTGCGAGCAACTTGATTGAAATCTTTCACAAGGTGTGGCTCATGCACCTTGATAATTCACCCGTGCCAGTAGCGCAAGTCAGCGCTATTACCGTCCTGGTCTATAGCTTTCTACTAGATTCCCATTGCCCGATGGGCGAAGGAGCGTTGGGGTTAAATTTTCGAGTCTAATTAATGTACTCAGTCTTCCACGACCTCGCCTCTTGAGAGGTTCCTATCACGGAATATAAGGTCACAGGGGACGGGGAACTGTAGATAGAAAGATAGAGACTAATATTGAAGACAAGAAATTAAGGTGCTTCAGTAAGCACGAGACGTGTGAAACATGTAAGTCTCGTTCAATGATAAACGGGATTATTGAACTGAGCCTACTGGAGGCTCCGCAGGTGGTACACCTAATGCTTTCAAGACATCCCCCGAACTCAGAAGTTTCGCGTATTTGGGCTCGACGAAGATTGACCTGGTCGTATAAGCGGTCATCAAGCCTGTCATCCGATTGAATAGAGCCACTTACCTCGAGCGCACGAACACCGTCCCTTCCAAATCCTCGATCGTCGCTTTAACGACAACCTTCCGCCCCTTGCGTTCGACGAGCTCCGTCCGAATGACGACAAACCGGTCAGCCCGCACCGGGTTGACATAGTCCATCTCCAGCCTCGCCGTTACGCCAATATGGGTTGAGAGGTTGAGCAGCGCGGTACGAGCGCTGGCTTCGTCAACGAGAGTCGCAAGCAGGCCGCCGTGCGCTATGCCATCGTGCCCGCACAACCCACGTCCGACATGCACAATCGCAATACCAGCAGACTCATCCTTGCGCGCGCGTACGAGTGGTGGCACAGCGAGGTGGCCTGGCCCACGCAAGGCACCCATGGTGAGGTTGTTCTGGATTGCAGGAGCAGATGTATCGACGCCTTTGAACGGGCGTGTCTCATACCACTCGTGATTTGTGTCTGTAATGGAGTCAGCGAGCGCGAAAAGCCCTCCAAAATGAGACGTACCATCTTCACGCAACTTCTGGAGGTAAGGTAGCGCAAGCATCTCGCGCTCGAGTGCCGTCGCGTAGGCAATTCCCTCGGGCGAGTCGCGGGAGTGTGGCGCTAGTGCCTGTCTGGGATATAATAAAGTTGCAATGTCTGGAGGATATGCAGAGCCTAAGGAATATGCGCCAGTTGCGACCGCGACACCAGCTGGGAGAGCGCGATTCAAGGTTTTTACCACTTGTCAGAGACAGAAATACAGATCGCAGCGTGTATAGGCCTCACCTAGCGCAGTCACGCCTCTTCTCCTCGCAGCTGGTGCGCTCGCAGTACCAGCCTTTGAACCAGTCGTGGACACATGCCGAACAAATAACCGCGGGGACGGCGCAGAGCGACACGCACGACCAAGTACCGAACCAATAAGCGCGCTCATGACGGTGGATGAGCAAGCAGAATACCAAACGAGAATCAGGAAGCCAAGTTGTGACGCGACGGATTTGCGCCGGTGCTCAGAATTTTGCGGAGGATAGGCGTCTAATCCGGCAATTGTTCCGGAGATCAGCAGCCACAATCACAAGCCGCTTCCAAATACGAACTATGCGGGCGAGTATTTTGATCTCGGGCTACATTTGCGTATATGTTGAATACTCGACACTGGTCACGTAACACACCGTCGCTTTAATATTGATGTTGGTAGAAGCAATGACGATGGTGATGACTAGCTGGTCTAATGGGAAGGCGCTCCACTCGAATCGCAAGGTTAGCCCTTTTGGGCATTTTGGAGAGATGCGGGTTCAAATCCCGCCATAGTCGATAGCCTTTTTCTGCTTTCGCGGACAACGAACCGCTTCCGTCCAGTATGAATCGACCAAATTTTGTTCATGTACTCCGACGGAACGATGCTTCAGATGTTTAGACACGCGCGCGAAATGTTCCTTGCAGCGTGTCCTTCAACAAAATCGAATGCAGTCTCTTGATCCTTGTAAATAGTATGCGACCTTGTACTACAGTATTCATACACCGCAGCCGCCGTGTAACAATTGGCGCGAGGTATCTACAGCTTGGTCTTGCTCTGGAAGCTGGCCAGTTGCGTCCGCTTGCCCTGGCTAAAGTTTCTCGTCAGAAGAAGGTCAACACAAACATAATTTATGTAGAATACGTACCCAGTATGCAACACCTTGCTAGGTGCCGGCCCACCATCATCTTTGCGGTCGGGGACGGGGACGTAGTCACGTTTGCCCGCGCCAAGGTACACCTGCACCACCAGACATCAGCATCGGCGTCAACAGTGACATCTACAAGGAGGCGACGCGCCTGACGCGGTCTCCAGATCTTGACACCCCCAGGCTGGAGCATCATCTGTCTCCAATGGGCAAGCCATCCCACCACTCGCGGTACCGCAAACAGCACGGGGAAGAAGTCAAGCGGGAAGCCTGCAACGACGTGAACATCAGGTTTACGATAAAGAAAGAAACGAGGAAGAGTGGGACGAACCCATGGCTTGGTATATGAGCCCGCTCCAGAAGTCGACGTTCGGGCCGAGCTTGCGGCTGACAAAGTAGTCATCCGCGATCGCCATATCGTGCAACTTCATTGCGGTCTCGAGCAGTTCGTTCTTCCCCGTTCTGCAAAGGATAAGTGCGCAGCAACCGCGATTATGAAGCTGACCTACACTTTGAAAACCTCGTCGGCGGTGCGGCGCACGATGAACGAGCGCGGGTCGCTCGTCCTGTACACCCGGTGACCGAACCCGCTCAGCACTTTCTCTCGACGTTTGACTGCCTCAAGGAATGCGGGTACGTTCTGCACTCCATGGTGAGCACGCAGGTTGTGAGCACACCGAAAACACACACCTCTGGCTTGCCGATGCCGATGAGCATGCGGATGACGGCCTCGTTCGCGCCACCGTGCAAAGGCCCACTGTAAATTATTTCGATGAGACGAACGTTGAAGCCTTCAGGACAGGGGCGACGCACTAGAGACTGCCGCAACCGGCGCTAATGGCGGTATACGGATCGACAAGCGAGCTGCCGCTCTGGAGCACTGTTGTCGCGCTCGCGTTGAGCTCATGGTCGGCATGCAAGATGAACAGAACATCGAGCGCCTTGGCCAAGACGGGGTTCGGTCGGTACGACAGTTCGCCGAGATGGTCGAGCATGTACAGGAAGCTGTCGCGAAGTTAGTTTGAGCTTTTAAGACATTTTGATTCCGGCCGCGAGGCACAAGGCACGGGCACGCACCTCTCCGCATAGCCCATACCGGGCGGCGGCACGACAAAGTCGCGACCCTGGCGTACACGGTAGGCCATGGCGGCGAGCGTGGGGGCCTTTCCAACGAGACGATATATCTGCTTGTCCATGTTTGCGAGGCTCTTGGGATCTGACTTTGTGAAGAGATTTTGTCCTTGCAATGACGGATTTGCCTGAGGATTAGAGTGGTTAGTCGTGTATCATAGCGTTGGAAGGTAGCAGAGATGACAGGCCACCAAGGTTGAATGGTATGCCTTCATACGAAAGAAACACACCTCTGCATAGTAAGAGCCCAGTGCCGCAAACGCGCTCGTAAGGATAGCCATTGGATGAGCATCGTATCTGAAACGACCTTGAGCTCGGCACTGTTTGTCCAAGCTATGGCACAAGCTGACCTGAAGGAGCGGAAGAAGCCAGCCGAATCGACATGCATGATACTATGCGTCATGACCTCATTCTCCCACAAATTGAACTGTGGCTTGGTAGGAAGGGCACCATAGATGAGCAGGTAAGCGACCTCGAGGAAACTGCTGTTCTCGGCCAGTTGCTCGATCGGGTATCCTCTGTCCAGCGTCAGCGGATACTGGTGTAAAGAGCGCAAGACACACCTGTAGCGCAGAATGCCGTTTTCGCCGTCGATATACGTTATTCTGCTCTCGATGACGGCGGTGTTGAGGAAGCCACGGTCTGAGATCCTAAGTCCGCGCTCGGTCTCGTTCTCCTCGCGCTCGCCAGCCTTTCGCGGAGCTACAATCTTCTTGAAAGCAATTGCCTGAACTGTATTGTTCTCAATTCTGGTAAAATCATTCCTGTAAGTAACAAAGACACGCCCGAGCAAAAACAGAGCGACGCACGGGACATTGTACGTCTTGCCTGTGCGGTTATCCGTGACAGTCAACGAGCTGGCGTCTTGCGCGACAGTCATCCTGGTATGCGCGCGGTGTCGGGAGGAAATTGGAGCGTGAAAGTGGGGAGAACAGGAGCAACAGGCGCGTGTGCTGCATTTGAACGCGCTCACGGCACCGCCCGTGCGGGGCAACGTCGCAATCACATGCACCCCAGCCGCAACGCTACTCAACGCAAGCTTCACGCGAAGACGGCCGGCAACGACTTTGTCTTCCGGGCTGTGATGAAAATCACAATGTCCTGCATTTCAAAGACCAAAGAATTGCGGCGTTGGTCAGTAGAAGCAATAAAATTACTTAGACCGGCGCAGGATTCGAACCCACACTTCTCCGGTTAACAAAGTTACATCGCAGAAGCGACGAAAAGGAGCGTCATTCCGCTAGACCAGCCAGTCGAAGCTTATATCGACCTTTGGGATGCCCCAAGTACTGAGTGGTAACTGAACATCAATCGCTGCATTGAATCTGAACGTGTACCGATGATATTACGGCCAACTGAGAATCCACTGTGTCCCATTGGGGAGTTAATCGGTGTTTCCCCACGCCAATAAGGCTCAAACCGTAATCAACAGCAAGACTATTCACAGTATCAATACGGTTGATGTACATTTTTTAATTTTCTATTTTTATTTTATTTTAATTTTTTGCAAAACCACAGAACTTGACTGTTCACCAGGCATCCACGGCACAGCAATAAGCTTGCTATGCCAGTAAGCCAACAAGGCGAGCTGGATGTATGAGGCACTCACACTGCGTCGGAGGTCTGAAACATTGGGGCATGCTGGAATGTAGTTCTTAAAGAGACGGGAGGTGAAGGAGGGCGCCGCTTTATCCACCTCATCTACGGTCGCGCAAAATCCATGCATCCCTCATCTCTGTGCGAGGTAAGGTCTGTTAACTGCGACAACATCGAGACTTTGACTCCACTCATGGGCAAGTCTAGGGATCAAGGGGGACTATCGCTGGCTTCAAGGAACCGAGACCCTGATAATCGCGCCAAAACCTCGACGTCTACGTGAGTAGATGGAAGGAATTGCTGCGAGAGCGGAATAAAATGAATAACACGGCGAGAGACCCACCTCACTCAGGTCAGTCACGTGGAAGGCAAGCAGGATCCAGCGGGTACAGCTGATCAGGATTCTGCCGGGTGCCGCAGAACGGACACGGTCAGGTGATGGTAATCTTTGCGCTAGCGTGCAAAATTCGACTGGCCACACCACCCCGTTTGTGATTCAAAACGCGTTGAACTGGATCAGCATCAAGAGATTGGCCCTGTATGTCCCAACAGAAGATTTGGCTGAATTAGTGTCTGATTTGCCTTAGCATACACTTATGGAAGTAAGCAGGGTTAAACTGAGCTAATGCGGTACGATGTCATGTGGCTTATGGAGCACTAAATCGTCAACAAAAAGACCTGAGGCGCTCTTTCACATTTTCCATGTGCACCAGGGGTTCAAATTTCGATGAGCGTATCGCGTAGCAAAATGTTGGCTCAGATCGCATTCCCGGAAATCATGTTAACATGCGAATTACATAAAAGTTGCGGACAACTTGAGTAAGACAGGGAAGGTACTTCCAAGTACAACTGGTGCACTGGTGAGCCGATCAGACGCTACTACACTTACCCATGCTGCAACATTCAGGCTGCTTCCTGGGATCCGGTTAGAATGGAACAGTCTGTACTCTAGTACATCTAATACCTAGTTGTGGAGGCTATATCTGACCCTCCAGCTGTGGTCCCACGTGCAGGTCAGTTCTCGTTGGAAATAGTTCTCCCATCACATTCGAGTAACCGCAATCGCCGTTACAAGGACGCACTCTCGTGTCTCTCCCGAGATCTACATCTAGGCCGCGTCACAGACAATCGAGGTCACATAACATTATAGAATTCGACATACTGCTGAACTAGTCGCGAGATCTGTGTTGCATTTATTCATTATATTAATTCGTAACAACGGACATCGAATACCCTAGAACACTGACCATCGTAAGATGCAATTGTGCATTGTTAGCAGTGTTTGAGATCACAAAAATGATAGCATGCACGGGAGGGGTTATACCCACAAGTAAAATAATGTAGGCACGAGCCCGGTGTCAGATCTACCTTTTCGCATCATCAAGGTCGCCGAATGCTCCAGGCCATGCTGTGCGTACACGCTCTCTTAGTCTGTCGCGTATTGTATCTGGCCACCGGTCGTTCAGACGGTCGACCGCATGGGTGGTGCGTACGGGCGAGCTGAACGGCGAGAAGGGCTGGCCCGACAAGTAGACGCTGAAATCGATCTCCTTCTCCGGCGATGACGCGTCCAAGCCAACTTCATCCCCGCTGTGCTCGACCATGCCAGCGCCTTTCAGAGTATGTAGCCTCACAGGCGTTGGCGACCCTGGCGATTCTTCGCGATCAATCTGCATAGGCTTGACGGGCGACGACTGCGGTGGCGGGCTCGCGGCGTCATCATCGCTATCGTCCTCTTCGCTCGTACTCGCCTCGTGAATCGCCGCCGCCCGCGCCAGCAGCTTCACCTTCCCACGCGACCCGCCTGTTGCCCTAGCTCTACCTGCACCGCGTGGACCAAGGAAGCGCACGCTTCCACGCGTGAAGCGTGGGGTAGGGCTCTCTATTGGCGGTGCGCGCGCACTCGTACGTCGGCGCGGCGGCGGTGGCGTCGAGAACAACGGCGACTCGGGTGGCTCACTGGATCCGCTCGTCCGGCTGCGCTTGCGCGGAGGCTCTTCGTCTTCGACGTCCGTGTCTGATGGCGCTTCGTCGTCTGGCGATGAGCGTCGACGTTTGCCCGACGACGACTTCCGCATTATGGCTGTATATGGCTGGACGGCGGAGAAGAGGCGAGCATACATCGAGTCATCATGCGAGATTGCGAGCCAGTAGCTGATGCATGTAGCCAGGTCGAGAGTAGGGGAGGGTGCAGATGTGTCCTCTTGATGGGCTATCGGGAATACGAGTGGGTCTGTGACGAGGAGATGACAGTCGGTGCCTATTGTACCAGTGGCACCTACAATTGTATGTCAGTTAGAGCTTTGAGGGCAAAGTGAAGCTGGAATTACCTGAGCCGGACGGCATGATTCTACTGAATCTCCACTCGGGTTGAGGGCTGACGATATCGCTGACAGTAGCGAAGCTTTGCACCCCATACGACGCACATGTGCTCAACATCTGGACGTCGTAATTTAACCTCTAGCGTTCCTCAGATGCTATGACGCACCTGCTCTAACGACTGAGTTGACAGGCGTGACTGATCCTGTGCGAAGACGAGGAAGCGAGTCGTCGGTGATGCGTTGCCGCGCCGACGGTCCGCATATACAATGTGGGGAACAGAGTTCAATGTTCTTCCTCGGAGCGAAATGGTGCTGGTTGGCAACTGGATGGCTGATTGCGCAGCGGAGATATAGCCCTCCGCCTCAAGTTGACGCGCCGCGACAGACATGGGCTCCGTGAGCATTTGTAGGAATCCGATGGAAACCCCAATTGCTGAAGAGTCGCTCGCAGTTGGGATGACCCGGGCGTGTTCCTCCCTGAGGTGTGGTTGATCGGAGTTCTCGCGTAGCGTAACGCTTCCCTTGGTGACTGCGTATCAACAACATCTGATCAGCGTGCGCCCTTCAGACGAACAAGTGGGGCCGGAACTTACATTTAACGATCTCTTCGAGGACAATGTCGCGCGGGATGATGGTCGTATCAACGTCCATTGTTTTGAGTGACGAGAGACTGTATGTCTGGTCGCGCTCGAGACAATAGCCGATCCTTAAGGGACTAACTATGAGCAAGTATGCTCGCGTAATCGAGCGGCGAGATTCGTGTTGATTCTGTAGGGGTTCGATCGCCTGGTGCGACTTTGGCTTGGTCGCGTCGTTCGCGAGCCGTATTGCAATCGGATGTAATATATAGGCACCTCGTGATATGTTGAACGCTACAAGAGTCGCGTGCGCAAGGTCTAACGCCACACAATGGAATGGAAGGAGGCAGAGAGGCAGAGACGCGCAGCTTGAACACGAAGGCCGGCGACCGCATGACGCTTCCTGAAAGAACGTGTCCCTGACGGCAAATACCGACTCACAGGTCTCCTTCTATTGTATCTGATCTGCTTCCGCGAGACCACCCGCGCAAATATTGCAACTGTAATGGGCGAGCTGGAAGGCACGCAGTAGCATTCATTTGCCCATGAAGGGCGTAATAGGTATATACCGTAGTTCGGGCTGATGGTTTGACCTGCAATCTCGAATGGACGGGTAATTTATGAGGCGAGTTCGACGGACACTGACTCTGACCTCAAGGTGTCGGTCACGCAGGTCTTAGGTCCGTATTCTTCAGGTCAAACATGTGATCGGAAAACAGAATTGATGTCATCAAAGCCACCAGGCCGCAGTTAATGTTTCATCCATTCAATATTTCATCGGTACATTGGACTCTTCGCTTCACTCCGGCAACTGCAAGTCCCACTCGGCCAACCGACGTGTATAGCCCTGGCACGGTGACGACTTCATCTTCCGTTGTGCGCCCCTAGCCATCTGGAGACGCATCTACTTTGATACGACCATTACGACAATGTCTGTATTTCACATTTCAGGCTCGTACATATCCTGATACGACTTAGGGATGTAATAGAAGAGTCTAGCTAAAAGGGAATTTTTACCATAAACTATCTTTATCATGTCCAGCCCCTTCTCACGGAGCGGACTTGAATAATAGTTCGATTAGCAGACTGATGATCTAAGCCGTGGGCACGACTATCGTATATTGACATTGCCGGCCACGGCAGGAAGACAATCAAGACTGATTATAAAGCCATTCATCGTGCCCAACAGACAATTCCGATTGCTTGTGATTGCTTGCTCCGCAACAAGGGATAGAAGACTGTGATGAGCAGAAGATTTGACGAGGATCAGCGGGTCACGCGCATGACATGGTCCGAATTGGACACACTTGCGACCAATCTTATCTTACTACGCCACGGAAGGAACTCGCGGAGAACTTCACCAGTGCGCCCCGCTTCTGGTTTGGCTGTGCCTGATCACCCTCTCCATGTGATATCCAGCGGTTGGCCAGCGCTCTTCGGATTCGTCGACACACAGCTCGTCGCTTTTTGCGATCATTGCGGTTTGCGAGAGATGCAATACTGCGGTTTATGGCCTCAAAAATCATATTCTTCAATGTAGCATCCATTTTCTGAAAAGTTGAAAGTTCGGCTAGCTACCGAAATAGGGGCAGAGCGAGGACGAAGTTGTCGCAAGCGTGTCCACTCCCCGCACCAGAATGGAAAAGCCCTGATCCCACATTCAGTATAGCAACAGATCAACTATGAAACGCGAGGCGCTCGCACTTCCGACTCTCAGCGCTACCGTACAGCAGGTACCGGAATGAGCGGAGTCACATTAC